AGAGATTCTGCTGGTGACGTCCAGAAGACAGGAGGTGGTAGTAAATGGAAACTTCCTGCAGTTGAGATGCCATATTTTAATTGTAATTATCTTTTGGAACCCATTAATACCTTTAGTTTCTACATTGTGTTCGAAGGGGTTCTATGGTTGTGTAAAAACTGATCATGTTCCCCATAAAGAAAAGCTGGAAAATGTTTATTTATTGTTGTGATAGTGTTTTTCCTGACAAAAGAGCAATTGGAAACTGAGTTTGCTTTTATAAATTATTACTTTCTTTGTGCTTCAAAAAGCATCTGGAAAACAGATGTTACCATATTTTTCTTGGGGTTTTTTTAATCACGCACATTTCACTTGTGTGGTGACCACATGTTTATTCCCTAAGTTTGTTGCCTAGAAATAGTACAACGTCTTTGGTCACATCCTGAAATGTTATTGAAGAAATTGTGCCACAGAAGTGAAATCATCATGTAAGCGTATATGGTCTTGTGTGTGCTTCATTTGATTCCAATTTATGTTCTGCTGCATGTTTTCCTAGCTCTAACATGCATGATATGGTTCTAAACCTGCATCTGGTAGGACAACTGGCACACTTTATCACATTTCTGTACTTGAGGCAAGACTCAATGGGAGTCTTGAATTCCATGTTCAAATTGTACGTGTCATGTTAGCCTGGTGTTTTCTGTACTTGGGTATGCCCTGCCCATTTTGAAAATCACACCTCATAAGGGAAAGTACTATTAATGCAATTACATGTATGTTGTTGTTTATCTTTGAGTATAAACTAAGGAGGTGATTGGTGACAGCCAACATGGCTACACTGAGGGCAAATCGTGCCTGACCGATTTGGTGGCCTTCTATGGCAGGGTTACAGAGTTGGTGGATAAGGGAAGAGCAACTGATGTCATCTACCTGGACTTGTGCAAAGGGTTTGACACTGTCCCACACAACTTCATTGTCTCTAAATTGGAGAGACATGGATTTGATGGGTGGACTACTCAGTGGATAAGGAATTGGCTGGATGGTCACACTCAGAGTTGTGATCAATGTCTCGATGTGTAAGTGAAGACCCGTGATGAGCAGTGTTCCTCAGGGACTGGTGCTGTTCAACATCTTTGTCAGTGACATGGATGATGGGATCGAGTGCACCCTCAGCAAGTTTGCTGATGACTCCAAGCTGTGTGGTGCTGTCAACACGCTGGAGGGCAGGGATGCCATCCAGAGGGACCTGGACAGGCTGGAGAGGTGGGCCACTGCCAACATCATGGAGTTCAACAAGGCCAAGGGCAAGGTCCTGCACCTGGGTCAGGGCAATCCTAAACACAAGGACAGGCTGGGTGGAGAATGGATCAAGCGCAGCTCCGAGGAGAAGGACTTGGGGGTACTGGTGGATGAAAAGCCTGTATTGACAGAACAAAGGGTAACAGGTTTAAACTGAAAGCGAGGAGATTTAGATTGGACGTCAGGCAGAAGTTCTTCCCGGAGAGGGTGGTGAGGCACTGGCACAGGTTGCCCAGAGAAGCTGTGGATGCCCCATCCCTGGAAGTGTTCAAGGCCAGGCTGGATGAGGCTTTGAGCAACCTGGTCTAGTGGAAGGTGTCCCTGCCCATGGCAGGGGGGTTGGATCTACCTGCCTTCCAACCCATTCTGTTATTCTGTGATAGTTTAGGTTTGTGGCTGAGGTACAAGCTCTTATATTCTCGGCCTTAGTCTGTTCCTCCTCACTAAGACGAACTAACATCTGTGGCGCTCACAGACTAGCTGGAGCAAAGCCTTGAGAATGTCTTAGTGGGACTGTCTTCAGAGAGTGGCAATATCATGTATATTATCAAAGCTAAAGAAAAGCAAAAAAGTTTGTAAGCAAATGTACAAAGGTAAAACAGATATGTTGTCTGCATTACACAAAATCTTACTTCTGTTCCTACCTATTAGCTGAGGATTTGTGTGAAGGATCTAAGACTTTAATTTTAATCTGAAAAATTTTGGCTGAAATGCGTGCTTTTTCACAGAGTAAAGTTTCAGAGATACAACTTTCTGATTGTGTTTTGCAGTCACTGCTATTGTGGAGTAAACTAGAATGCTGCAATATTTCCAATATTATTTGTTGTCCACAAAGTTTCAGTCTCATAAAACGCCCTTACTGGTTAAGAAACCTCTCTGAGTAGTGACCTTTCCTCCACTCCTTTGAGTTAGTGGCATACACACTTTTAGAACTTATTTCAGCTGTGGAGAGCTCTGAGATCTGTCACCACTGCTGTTTTTTCTCGTAAGAGTTTAAATTATTTGGAACCATTAATTTGCAGATTTATACCTTCAGTTTTATATGAAAAAAAGTCTTTTAATATTCAGTGCTGTGTCAGCCTAGCAGTTTGAGTTTTGTTTTGGAAATATTCAGTGCTGTGTCAGTCTAGCAGTTTGAGTTTTGTTTTGGAGAGCTTCACAAAATCCCTTGCAGTATATACTAATAGGATGTGTGATTGATGTGGTATCTTATATGCCTCAGTTTCTTTTTCAGACTTCGACATTTGGATCCATGTAGGGCCTGTGGTGTTACACATCTAAGTTCAGTGTAAATGGTCAGATTAGATGTCTTAAGTTCAGTGTAAATGGTCAGATTATAATGTAGATACTTCTCAAATGCAGCATATAATATATCCGTGACCTGACCACAAAGCAGTAACTTGAAACTGTGTCTTTGTGGGACCTCTACCAAACTTCTAAGTGTGTTAGATAAAGTATTTCTTTGCCTGTTTTTCAGAAGGCCGCTTAGTTTAGAATGATGTATTTTTTAAGAATATTCTGGGTTGTATCTTGTGTTACAAAGCTAGGAAATTGGAAGTTTTGAGGTGTGACAGAAGAAGTTTTATAGGTTTTTTTATAGTCGCATTTATTTCTGTTCTCTATTTCTCCTTTATTGTATATATATACGATGCATACATGTATTTATATAAGTATTTCTTCTGTCTCCTAGTTAGAACCTGGCTCACTCGATGAAACCCAGATTGCTACAATATTGAGGGAGATACTCAAAGGACTTGATTACTTGCATTCAGAAAAGAAAATCCATAGAGATATTAAAGGTAAGTTGTTTTTATTTGTATTCTAATAATATTAGAAGAGCTTATGCAATATAAATGAACACCCTTCCAGTGTCAAATATCTTCATTTCTGCCATTTTCACTTCTTTATTCCAGCTGCTAATGTATTGCTATCTGAACAAGGGGAAGTAAAGCTAGCAGATTTTGGAGTAGCAGGACAACTAACAGATACACAGATAAAGAGGAATACCTTTGTGGGAACACCGTTTTGGATGGCACCTGAAGTAATAAAGCAATCAGCGTATGATTCAAAGGTGAGGTATTTCAAGGCATCAGCCAAAGTCCCTTCCTTTTTTAACTTGAACTACATAGGTTGGTCTTCAGAGCGTAGGTAATAACTTTGGCTGTGTCCAGACAGGCGTGCATTTAGGTGATACCTAGCAGCTATAAGCTGTCAGCAAGGAAAGAAGCTTTCCTAATTTGTATCTAAACCTTAAGTTTCCTAGTGTAGATTGCAAGAAATATTACAGTGTTGACAAACACATCCTGTCACCCTATATCCCACTCTATTGTGAGTAGCTTTGGTGGTTGTTTAAAAGCAGAAGAGAGCAAGTACATACAAAGGGTTAATACGCTTCCACTTGTTGTTAGAAAAAAAGTAGTCAGCAACACCGTTGAAGAATATGGATCTGGTGGGTGCAAATGTGTTGTTTGAAAGTGCTGTAGTTTATCTGTGTAATTCAGTGGTGCCCAGCAACAAGACAGGGGGCAATGGGCACAGACAAATTCCTTATCAACATAAGGAAACCCTTCTTCCCTGTGAGGGTGACAGAGCCCTGGAACAGGCTGCACAGAGAGGGGGTGGAGTCTCCTTCTTTAGAGACTTTCAAAAGCCGCCTGGGCTTGTTCCTGTGTGATCTACTCCAGGTGATCCTGCTCTGGCAGGGGGTTGGCCTAGGTGATCTCTGATGGTCCCTTCCAACCCCCAGCATTCTGTGGCCTGTGGAGGAATGTGCTGCATAGGTCTATGCTGCTCTCTGACCATGTTCTTTTAGATGTTCCATATAGGGAGGTTTTAATGTTTAATATCAAATTTACTTACTTGTAGATACCTACATTACACAGGAGTTTGATTTAGCAGAGTGGTACGGCAGTGTACCGAAATCACAACACAAGCACAATATATCAATTGTCACATGCAGCTGCATCACAACAGAAATGTGATTTCCGTTACTGGTCTCCATATGCTCACCAGCATGACACTGGGTGTCCCCAGTTGCCAAGAAGGAATGTGTGCATCGGGTCTAGCTCAGACCCATTGCTCTTTTCCAAGTTCGTTTTTTATACCGTTAGGCTGAGCGACATATGCACCTCCTTGCTGCCCCTCCCTCCCTTCCCTCTCCCTCTTTTCCCTCTCCCTCCTGCTGGTTTGGCTAGCTCAGCAAGACATTGCTCCACTGCTCACATCGGGGAGGGCTGTTTGCACAACCCGGTGACCCACTGGTGCAGCTGTGTATCTGAAACAAAGGTCACCCTCGGGTCCCACGTGTGTGGAGATCAGCTTGCTTTCTGATAACCAGCAGTCGTTCCTTATGTTGTTCCTTGAGCTCATCTTTCTTGCCCATCTCCTCTGACCCCCTTGTAGGGATTTGTTGCTTGGTCACGTCGCCATGGAGTGAGACAGGGTGGTGTGTTTCTTTCCACCCTCATCCATATAAGGAACACACCAGTACTGACTCTGGCTGGTTTGCAGTGTTGCTTCCCTATTTGATAGCTTTCTGTAGAGAGGAAATTTAAAAATAACAAGCAGAGCTCTGTACAGCCTCTAGAAACTTAACAATGTCAAGCCAAGTCCCAATTTATGTTCCCAATACTGTGCTCTCAAGGTTTTGTGAGGCGTTTTGGAATGCTTTATGCACATGTGAGCTGTGTATTCCTTAACTGCCACACAGAATTTGCCCATTCCATTGCTGCTTTATTCAGTCCCATTCCCAAACTGTTCTGTGTCCTTAAGATATTCCTAATATTCTTTCTCAGACCATGTATTGCAAGGTATACTTACAAGGCATTCCAACAGTTGTCTTTATTGCCTAAAAAACAATCAAGGTATGATTTTTGACATAGAGACTAAAATTTCAGCAGCTTCTGTCAGACTTTTGTAAATGATAATTCAGACCGATGTATTTGAGAACACAGGCTTTCCAGGTGGCTGGTGTGAGAGAGCAAGTTAGCTAACATGTTTGCATTTTCATGTGGTCAGTAGCTAATCCGAGGCGTACTTGACAGCAAAAATTTCAACTTCAGTTTTCATTTTCCCTCCTGGTTTATTTTGAAAGTCCAAGTACTCCACAGGGGTGATAAAATCTAGCTGCTAAAGTAACTATCAGCCATGGGGGAAAATAGTGAAATGTCAAAACATGACTGTAATTGTTATGTTAAAGCTAATATCTGGGTTTTTTTTAAATTTCTTTTCCGTTTTTATATAACTTTTCCCATACCATCTATTTCCTTCTCTCCAAGCTATTTGTTCTTTGATACAGTGTCCTTATAATCTCTCTCTTCTAATTTCCATTATTTTGGCAATAGTTCTTACTACTTCCTCATGTTTTGATTCCTTTCTTCATCTGAAAGTCAGAATCTTTTCTCATCTGCTTCAGTTTTTCAATATCTAGTTCTCTGTCCTTTCTACTACATAATTTCTAATAGGAAAAAACATCTTTAAAAATGTTTTTCTCCTGCACATAGCCTGTTTTCTTTGATTTACGAGAGCTTCAAAGTCAGACTAAATTTTACTCATTAGAATGGAAGACAAAAGGCTTATGGCAGTACTGCAGTAAATAATAGTTACCAGTAACTTGCTGACTCTTGTCTGAACTTGGAAGAATAACTTTTGTTCAAGGTTTGAAACTGTAAAAACCTTAACGTGGTAAAATTTAGTGATGATACAGTGTGGTCACTTCTTAAGGTCATGCTTCTCCCTCCCTGTTTGGAGGACTGATTTGTGCTTCTTCTGGAGTTTCATTGTCACAGATAAACGCATCCTAGAAACGCCAGGCATGGAAGTGGTGCTTACCCCTGTTTTGAGATCCTTTCTTTTCTGTGAAAGGAGACATTACACTTCCAGAGGAATTTTAGGGTTTCATTCTTGATGCTTCCAACAGGAATGGGCTTCCAAAACCCACCTGGGACTTCAAAAAGTTCAGTGTGTAGCTGTGGTTTGTTGGACTTTTTAGTTCATGTTCTGTGAAGGAAAGTCACTAGCAGTAAAAGTTATAAATATATGAGGGGAAAAAAGGGAAGTATTTACGTATATACGCGTGTGCATGTGGATATCTATGCACATGCACACATACAAATTACATTTTTATACATACACATGCTCCATCTGTGACTCTTTTCTGGCAGAAAAGCTATCCATTTATATGGCTTTAGCACATTCTTCTTGAGAAACTGAAATTCAGAACGAGCTGGAAATAACAATGCTCAGTTGTTAACAGGAAGACTCCTCTTTGCAGGTGGCATTTTTCTTTCATAACCAAGAAAAGCTTTCCTGCTAGGGGGAAGTTACTCACAATTATACTCAGACTTGAGGAGAGCTTAGCTGATAATGCTGTAATTAAGAATGGAACTCAGAGCTGAGGTACTTATGTATTTCTCTCTGCTCAGTGTGAGGTGACAGTTCTGTAACATGGGTTAAGAAAACATCATTTTATAAAGTCAATGGTATGCTAATTGACTGAGGTTTTTTTTTCCATCCATTGCAAAATTAAGTAACTAACCTCTTCACAATAGAATACTGCCTGAACGAGGGAGCAGGAGATTGTTTTCAGCCGTGCAATCTAGCTGTGCCACTGGGATGGGTCCATACACTGCGGCTGTCAGCCTGTAGTCCTGTATGACATATCTCTGTTTCAAGATCAGTTATAACTGCCTGTGTAATAGTACTGATTTAAAAAAAGTTTTAAAACTCTAATAAGCAACAGTGCTTTATGCTGTAGAGTAAAAACAACCAAGGAACCCTGTGTACATAAACCAGACCCTGTTAGCAATTTACATGTGAAATGATTTACCAATAAAGCTTTAAAATCTGCCTTTGCAAGCAACACCATTTCTTCTTTCTCCAGCCTGATCTTAAACCCATTGTTTCTTACAGGCAGATATCTGGTCATTAGGCATAACAGCCATAGAACTTGCAAAAGGAGAGCCACCTCATTCAGACTTGCATCCCATGAAGGTTTTGTTCCTCATTCCTAAGAACAATCCACCAACACTGGAAGGAAACTTCAGTAAATCCCTCAAAGAATTTGTCGAGGCCTGCTTAAACAAGGACCCAAGCTTTGTGAGTTTCATCTGTCAGTGTATAGTAGAGAACTTGACTGGTTTACGTGAATTGCCTGAACAAACAGAGCTTTCCTTTTATTTTTTTTAGATACTATATATACATTTAAAATCTCATTTGTATCAAGACTGAAGTCTGGGTTTCTTAATCTTCTTATACTGAGTCACTTAACTCGAGCACAGTAAAAACAGCTTCTTTTTCCTTTTTTTTTTTTTAAGAGGCCTACTGCAAAGGAGCTCTTAAAACACAAGTTTATTCTACGAAACTCAAAGAAAATTTCCTACCTGACTGACCTTATTGATAGGCACAAGAGATGGAAGTCTGAACAAAGTCACGACGAATCCAGTTCTGATGATTCAGATACGTAAGTTGGATGAGTATGTAAAATATCCTTTGTAAATACAGGAGCCAAGAAGTTATTTTTAGCGCATATATACCTGTGTTTTGATGTTTACAGCTTTTCAGCTGAGCAGTCTTGATAAACTAATGAAATCTTGATTCCAGTGTTGCAAGGGATTTCCTGCAAGTGACAGTCACTGAGACCAATTCTTCTGGCCTGTTCCATGCTACCTTCTCTCTTACACAGGGTCCCTCCTAGCCGTAAGGCCAGCTGTTACTCCTGTCACGCGAGCAGGAAGTAGGTCTCACCCTGCGCAGCCAAGCAGCAGTATGCGCATGCACTCTGCCGTGTGTGCCCATGGCTACGTAAGGAGGGGAGTTGTCTCCCTGGTGGCAGGCTGTCCCTCATTTTGGCTCTCTGAGTAAACAGGCAGAAGCATAGCCTTGCGTGTAAGAGAGGGTTAGTGGACAGCATTGCCGTGATATCGGGGTTTTGGTGTACAAAGCATATTGCCAAGTTTTTTTTATGAGGGTGTTTTTTCCTATCCTTCCAGAATGGTTGGGCCATTACAGCATGTTAGTCATGAAATGTCAAATTACTTATTGAAAAAGAAGTGTTGTAAATATTTCCAGATTTCTTTCCTTTCCAGCTTTTACTTCTCTCCATCAAATGTTGATGGAGCTGTTCAACAGGTTCATGAGTTAGTTTCTGTAGGAAACCAAGTTACAAATAGCTGACTCCATTAAAAAGTTAGCTTTGTTAGTCTAAAAGTAATTGTGAAAATAGTGAGTATCATCAGATTACACAATTTTGTAAACCAGGTGAAGGGGTTGCCACAACTTGTTCACAAACCTATTAATTCTTTATAATAAAGAAACCAACTGTCCCCTTCAGTTCCAGTCTATGTGCTAATGGCAATCATCAGGCTGGTGATGAGTTTTTGGCTGCCATTACAGCTGTAGGTTTGTCCTACGTTATTAATGGATTGATTCCTGCCAGTGATCACAGCTCCAGCCCCAAACCAGGTCTGATTTAGAAGGTAAATTGCTAGTCCTAAAACTGGTCCCGGATCAGTTACGACCTGAACTTTGGCATCCATTGCTCCTGTGGAATGTCGGACCGGCTTCGAAGGCTTGGCATAGGACAGGAGCGGAAGTGGAACGGTTATTGCGTGCTTGGGAGACAGTTTAGTGTTACATCTAAGCCTGCTTTCCCCTCCCTTCCACAGCAGCCCTTATGTTAGATGTGATAAAAGGGTGAGTTGACCTGGCATGCTGGAATACTAACTTTCCAAATGGATAAACGTTTTGCTGTTGGATCAATTTGCTAGGGCTCATATATACAAGGAAGGTAGACCTGTCTCTTTTAGTGACAGCCAGAGCTTCTATGTGACTTCAAGCAGAAATCTTGTCCTTTCAACTTTGCAGGAATTACAGAAAAAATAAAATTCACTATGCCATCTGCAAAATATGAGAAAAAAAAAAAAAGATTGGTTTACGGTGATGTAGTTTGTTAAAGCCATGCTCTATCTGTACTTTTTTAGCCAATTTTTTTAAAATGGAAAATTTCCCTTGCTAACAGGCTGGGGATGAACTGTCTTCCTCAAAGGTATCCTAAGCTAGTGTCTTGGCTGTTCTTCTAGGCAAACAAAAAATCCCTACATTGTCTTCTAATTTTTCCCCTTTCCCTAACAATTTGAACTTCTAAAGCCAGTTTTCAGGTAGTAATAAACTACTTCATGTTACTTGTTATGTGACTTGGGAAATGTTTTCAATCTGTTATGCCTCTTGTTTTTTGAAGTTAATTTAACATCTAGTGAAATATGTTGGTTTAATTTTATTTCTTTTTTTAATTTTCCCAAAAGAAAAATCACATTACTTTTCATACATGTCTTTATGGGCTTGCACGATAGCATCCTGATTTTGAAATTGACTGGAGTTTTCATGTTTAGCATATAAATTGCATGAACGCAGCCAAGAAAGTGTAGCTAATAAAACTTCTTTTTTTCCCACCTTGAAGTGAACCAGATGGCCAGGCTTCAGGTGGGAGTGATTCAGGAGAGTGGATCTTTACAATAAGAGAAAAAGACCCCAAGAATCTAGAAAATGGAGCAGCACAGCCTTTGGAGTTGCAAAGAAATAAGGTGCTTAAAATATCAACTCTTATGCGAAGAGATAATTCTTGTTTTAATAATTGGGTAGATTTAGATTGGACATCAGGAAGAAGTTCTTCCCGGAGAGGGTGGTGAGGCACCCGGAGTTCTTCCCAGAGAGGGGGGTGGAGCTGTGGATGGCCCATCCCTGGAAGTGTTCAAGGCCAGGCTGGATGAGGCTTTGAGCAACCTGGTCTAGTGGAAGGTGTCCCTGCCCATGGCAGGGGAGTTGGAACTGGATGGTCTTTAAGGTCCCTTCCAACTCGAACCATTCTGTGATTCTGTCAATTTAGTGGGGTGATTCTGTATTTTTCACAAGTCTGTTGTGTACCTTTAAACACATTTAAACTGTAAAAGTTTCAGAAGTTTTGCTACAAATGTATATTCTACAGTTGCCTTTCACAAAACGCTTTGAGTAAGTCTTGAAGTGTGGGTATTCTCTAAACATGTCCTTTTTCTGTAGTTCATGAAATATGAAAGAAAATATTTCTGTAGCTTATGAAATATTAGCACTGGAGGAAAACCAAGCAATATTTTATTTTAGAAATCTTTCTTCAGTAAAGGAAATTTAAGAAGTACAGTACAAAGCTAGACTGGCTTTCAGGGAAGACATTCTGGTCTTTTAGGAAAAAAAACCCAAAACCTATAGTGTAGCAAAGAACAGAATGTGACCCAACCCAGTAAAACCAAACAAAAAACCCTTACCCAGAATAAGGGGTGTTTAGGAGCTGCTCCCTTGTATTTTCTGCAGCCTGTATGGCTGGGCAAATGGTTGCCACCCTGGCTCTGAACATTCTGGGTGTGTGCTCTTATCAGAACTGGAGAAATATAAGAAAAATATTGTATTGTGTGGGAGGAACCTAGTTAGTAAACATCCATGTCTCTGATTTAGTATGTGCTCAGCAGAGTTGTTTGGTGGGGCTTGCTTGGTTGTTTGTTTTTTTTTTTTTCTTTGTTCCTTTGGCCTCCCATTCCCCACAGTGCTTTGGTATAGTCCATGATAGAACATTTTACATATTTGTGTATACACAGAAACAGATTTTTCATAAAGTATAGCATGTTGGAACTACTTCTTTTCTTTAATTAGAAACAGAATACAATGAGAATGGTTTTTTTGAGAAATAAAATTGGTTAGAATTTTTGTTTTCTTTAAAGGAAAAGGATATCCCAAAGAGGCCTCTATCCCAGTGCCTGTCTACAGTTATATCCCCTTTATTTGCAGAGGTAAGTTATTGCTTTCAAACATAACCATTCTCAGATTTGTGTCTCTGAAAAATATGATGAATGGTACCTGAAGTTTCTACAACCCATCTGGGACTTGATGTGTTAGTTTTAGCTGTACCCTTTGCTTTCATGCACATCTGCTTTTGTATCTGTTTTGCTTCTAACCATGCTTCATGTGCATGGTAGCAGCATCAACCCTGCTAGCCTAAAGCAAGGAACACGAAAACACAAAGGTATGTAAATGTTTGGAATGCAGGGTTCCATCCTTTGACACTGTTTTATCTCTTTATCTGTCCTGAGGGGGACTTTTTACAAGGGTCTGTAGTGACAGGACAAGGGGGAATGGGTTTAAACTGAAAGTGGGGAGGTTTAGATTGGATATCAGGAAGAAGTTCTTCCTGGAGAGGGTGGTGAGGCACTGGAACAGGTTGCCCAGAGAAGCTGTGGATGCCCCATCCCTGGAAGTGTTCAAGGCCAGGCTGGATGAGGCTTTGAGCAACCTGGTCTAGTGGAAGGTGTCCCTGCCCATGGCAGGGGGGTTGGAACTAGATGGTCTTTAAGGTCCCTTCCAACCCAAACTGTTCTATGATTCTATGATATTATCTGTTACTTGTCAGCGTTCCAAGATGTGGCTGTGGACCAGATCAGGAAGTACTTAACTTCTGAATTTCAGTGTGAAAAACTGTATTCTGTTCCCATGCTGAATTTTGTTTTTCATATTTGGTATTTTTTTTCCAAATGCTTGAAAACAACTTTAAAAAAAAAATCTGTGAAGGGGAAGCCAGGTATTTCTGAAGCTGTGATTATTTTAAAAAGTTGATAGAACTCTAAGAAACAAATACCCCTCTCGCTCTAGCATTGATATGATTTTTAAAAATCATAATTATTTCATTCATTGTAACTTACAGAAATAAATTTAGAAAAACTGTTCTAATGAAAAGACGTTGCCTTAATTGTATTTGAATGAATGAAGTCCTGCTTCAGAGGATTATCGTTGTTTTGCATGCTGCTCATTAAGAATATTGAGTGCAGTAAAGCAATTAAACCTATTTAAGGGGGATGACCTCTGTATTTAGTTATTCAGACTTCAGTATTAAGTCAGCCTGTCATTCTCCTGTGTAAAGTGGAGAAACACTTTAAACAGGAATTTGGGGGATTTTCCATTTCTTTATGTATTACCCACTTTCTTGCCTATGCTGGAGAATTTTCTTTCAATTCCCTACTCTTCCTTCTGCCAAATATTTTTCTGGTTGCTCTGCATGTCCTTAAGGTTTTCCTTCTCCTCTTTCTGTCACACATGATACAGGTCCTGCATCCACCATCTTCCACAATCTGTCTTCCATTTTTATCCTTCCTTTATTTTCCATTTTTCTCTCCACCATGCCCTTTATTACCAGCCTTCTAGGTAACTCTGCTCTGGGTCTTCCTTCCCGTGGTATTGCCAGGTAGTTGCTGTGTCATTCTTTGCCTGCCTTGCTTCCCATTTTCATCTTCATCCTTTTAATTGGTGCTGATCCCTGTGGGTAAATGATTCCCTGAGCACCGCCGCAGCAGCACAGACTTTATTCACTGCGGACCTTCTCGAGGTTGCCAGTTACTGCCATCTCTGTAGCGTGTGGAGGCTACGGACAAACTTTTCCTCACACTTTGCTGTAACTTTGCATGCTGTGGGAGAAGACTCTTGGTCTGCTATCCGTTTAGTTCATCCTTCAGACTCCCATGAAACTTCTGGTGGATAGCCACAGCTTTCCCAAACTATTCCAGAATCTCGTTGCAGGGTTTCCTTTCTCTTGTGGGCTTGGCTACGGTCTGCTGTCTGGAGGAAGCCTTATGTTAAATTTTCAGTGTTCAAACCACGGGTATTTGCACCCTCAGGAATTACTGTCAGCTAAATTAGTGAGTTACTCCATGGAGCTCCTCCAAAAAGAATGAAGCCAGCCGGTCAGAGCTCTTTGTTGTCATGGAGGCTTTGAAGCTTTTGGCACAGGGCGGGTGTAAAAAAACCAACTGCTGTCCCTAAGTAGTCTCACAGGGGAAGACGGTGCTCTGCATCCTTCTCTCTTTCAGCTGAACTCTGATACAACTCCGAAGAGCCCCGCAGAGAGGGCCCTGCCTGTCGCTGTTGCTGGTAGTAATCTGAACCTTGGTGCGCCTCAGCAAAGCAATTAAAAAACAAAACACCCCAAACAAAACAAGCCCCCCTCACCCCTCCCAACTTTTTTCCAATGAAATCTAGATCCTGCTGAGATATTGGAATGTTCCTCAGTGAGTTCTGAGAAAGAAAGCCTTGTACCAGCCATACTCAGCACCTTATACCAGCTCCTACATAAGCGAGGCACCTAGACCTTCCCTTTGAGCCCTCAGTTCCTGCCTAATCATTGGACCCTTTGCTTCAGGGGGCAGATGGGAGTGTGTTGGAGTTGACAGGGTGAAAATATTTTCTAACAGTGCTTGCACAAGCGCACCTGGAGTATATATGTGCTGTATACTACAGCACATAAAACATGTAACACCTAAGCTGTAAGTGGACAAGTGCATATACTAAAGTGTGTATGTATAAGCATCACATCTTGAAACCCAACAGCTACAGGCAAATAGTGCGTCTTTCGTGGGATACTGTGTCCTAATTTTTGAATGTGAGCACACTGAAAAGGGTATGTGAATGATTGAAGGCTTGTGAAGAAGAATGACATCCTGGTAACTACTCCAAAGACTAACCTCAGGATGTGAGGGTGCATAATGAAAGGCAAATCCTGACATTGTGAACACTGGCGGTCACTTCCTAACAAGCTTCTGCATTCTATTGTCTATAGAAATATTTATGAATCTCTCATGAATATATCTCTTCCTGTTTTTTCTTTCAGTTGAAAGAGAAGAGTGAAGTGTGTGGTGGAAACACCGACTCCATAGAAGAGCTGAGAAAGGCCATTTACTTGGCTGAAGAGTCGTGTCCGGGCATTGCAGATAACATGGTGTCACACCTTGTGCAGAGGCTTCAGAGGTGATGAAATCCTTTCCTTAAGGGTTACAGAAAATTGCAGATCTGATTCTGCAAATATTTGACTAGTGTTAAAGAGTTCCTCTCTCTTTATACTAGTGGAAAAAAGTACTTGTGCTTAGAGTCTGTACGATTGCGTTTGCTTAGTGGAAAATAGTTAATCGTATCAGCAGCTCTAATTTCTAGCTTCGGGGGATAGTCCACATCTACGTTCATCCTATTGGTGTGCAAACTGTGTGTCAAAGGAAACTGGAGAGCCTTTTCCCTTTGCAGCCCACGTAAGGCACGTTCACGCTTTCTTAGTGTTGGGGTGTATGTTGCGGGGGATGCCCCGTGTTGCTCTTCGTTTCTTTCACCCACTTCGGTAAACGGACTGTTCAGTTAGGTCGTGTTTCGGTCAGTCATGTAGGAAGTGGTTCCTTGTTCACTCACTGGAGAGAGTCTGTGTGGCCTTTTGGGTGCTACATCCAAAGCCAGCTTCTCGTATTACTTCAAAAGGCCAAATTTCACAAGAGGGTTTCTAACGGCCTTGGTTGGGAATGTATTTCTAACAACTTGCTGTTCTTATAACTGCTCCACAAGAAAAAATCAGTGGTATAAATTTCAGGATACTTCTTGAAGAGGCTTTATATGCACCCTTGAATCCAGGAGCTGTCATGAATCTACACCATCCAGGTTGGGTTGCTCGGCACTAGGAAAAACTCATGGCAGGCATGAAGCACGGACTGCTACCTCCAAGAAAAACCACCCTGAGCAGGTGGTCTCCCTTTTACTAGCTCTACCCATGGCTTGGTACATTTTAAGAACTCACACCTCTGAAGTTAAAGGAGGGTGTTGTCAGTCTGAGGCTTTGTCATTCAGTAAAAATCAGTGCCAAGAAATGTGCACACAGCCATGTTTCTTGCTTTCTGGGCTGTTAAGCGTGAAGCCCAGTCAGCATCTCTAGTGCAAAAATGTCACCCCTTGATGCCAGTTGTCCTGATTCTCAGTTCAGTTGATTTAGGCTTGAAGGAGTTTCTGGAGCTTCCACCTCAGCTGGTTTCTATTAGAGGTTCCCAAACTGACCCCAGTCTTTCATCAGGTCACTATTTCCGTGTCAAGTTTCTATCAGCTTGGTACATTCCTGGAACTGGGAACCTCAAAGGCTTTTCATGCTGCAACTGAAGCTCCATGTTGCAACTCCATCCAGAAAGTGAGCGAAAGAAATGAATGGCAGGATTCCCCCTGAAACAGGAGTTTGAACCATTCCATAGCTTAGTAGGTATCCCTCATGGATAAAGCTATTTTGGGAACTAGTCAACTTCTAAAAAGGTAATTTCTTCTTGTTTGAATACTGCAAGAAGTACACTCCCTTACATCACCAAGTCATTTATTGTATCCACTTGCCATGTCCTCTCAGTTTGGTAGCCACCTACTGAAGATGGCTCTTCAACATGTTTCTCATGAGATTTTCACTCCCCTTCCAGTTGGTTCAAACTGGATTTCCCAAGTTGGTCCGAACGAATTCGTTGGGACCCTCGGAAGATCTGCCCCATACCTTGAGTGTCTCCGTTTACCCTCACCCTCCATTTCTGATCTCTGACATTCTATGAAGTTTATTGAAAGCTTAACATGACTAAATTGTGTGCCTCTTTTTTGGATGATTTCAGAATCTGCTTAGAGCAAGGAATACGGGTTCCCTGCCCTAGTAATATTTTGGAAAGGTTATGATGTAAAATTGCCAAGTAGGGAAGTTGCAATCAGAAACTGTTGCCCGCCCTCATCTCCGTGATTCTTACATCGCCGTGTACATCTCAGTCCCTCACGCAGGCGCGGGTTGTCGCCGTCCATCAGCGAAGCAGCGGTGTTCTCATGGGGCATGCTTGACATGTTGTTCAGCTCTTCTTTTGTCCTTGAAGCGTGACTGCTGTGGTGGGTGTCGTTCCGCAAGGGAAAAGGCTGGAACTTCAACGGTGTGAAATGGAGTAACTTTTTAGTTGCTGCTGCTGGTAGAACACGGTTCCGAAGGCCACGGCGATAACTATTTCTTTTCCTCTTCAGATACTCGCTAGCTGGAGGAAGTACCGCGTCCTACTGACGTGCTGCTCCTGACTTTTCTAAGACAGCAGAGATCCCCCGGTGTCCGCACCGAAGGCGCGCACCCTAATGTCGTTCTGCCCCTCGGTCACCGGAACAGGAGGGACGTTCCGAAATGTGCAAGAGTAAAGTCTCTCGGGTGGAGGCGGTCTCTTTCAGCTCCTTAAAGCTATTATTTTTTGTAATGATAATGCACATATTCCAGGGAGGTGTCTTTTTGTAAAATCTGAAATGTATATTTAGGTTTGTGATAGAGAAATTGAAGATATTGAGAAACCTCAGGTATCCTGCTTTAAGAATTCCACTGGGAGATGGAGTATGTTTGTTGGAATTGTGTACAGATGTGTATATAATGTCTTTTTTTAATCTGAAAGCCTTTCAACGTGCATAAGGAATCACTGTGTACAAAATGGTAAAGTGCTTCTGTAGATACCGTTAGTGGGGTAAATATCTGACAGGCCATAACTGAGTATTGCCTTGCCTTTATTACGTGTACCTTTTGAGTTGCGCGACAAGTGAGCCTCGGCTGGGTTTTTCTATGTGAAGGGTTTGCCATTGAAGGAGTCAATCCTGTCCTACAGAACCTTCTGTTCGGACCTCAGCGGAGACACAATTTTCTTCTGTTTCTCCAGTGTTTCTTCCTTTTTTTTTTTTTTTGGGGGGGGGCTGTATTCCGAGCCTGACTTTCTAATTACGGTACGACTTCCCGGTTGGTTTAATACGCCTTGTCTCTCAAAGCTTTGCATTTAAATTACTCTCTTTCCTAAAGAACAAGCTCCCTCATGCCTTGGGTTTTAAATTGTGCCAATGCAGATTCTGACCCGCACGTATCGTTCAGTTGCGGTAACGGGTATTGGCGAAGCTTGCGGTGAAAACCAGGTGCAGCCTTTTCTCTTTTCCCACCTAATGGCGCTTGAATGCTGACGAAAATACATCTTCATCACCTACCTTTATTCTGAAATATCTCATTACGAGGTTGTCTCTGAGACAGTGGCAAGTATTTCTCCATCATGCCAGTTTTTATCATTAAAACGAACGTCTCGCAGCAGAAAATTACCCGCGTGTTCAGCCTTCAGCCTTTCTGCCTAAGTCTGTGGGTCCCTTTACCGGCAGCGATAGATGTTGAAGAGAGAGAGAGACTGCAGAACTGAGCCCGAGCGTTGTACACTCTGGCCCCCTGAAAGCTGTTTCTCCTGGAAATTCCGAATGCTGACATTTCCACTGTTCCCACGTGTGCTCCTAGCCAGCTGACTGATGGCTCTATAGTTCCCGGAGAGAGTGGCATTAGTTGCACGCCCAGTTGCTTAGGTGGCTTCCCCCCCGCCCCAGCGTTACTGTGAGGTTTACCTTGGCTTGTTTCACCAAGGCTGAGTTTGGGTGCTGCTTTATTCTGGTAGCTGAGAGTGCGGGTTTGCCTTGTTTTTAATGAAGAAATTGATGATTTTTGTTTTGCGTGGTGGTGAGGTCACTTATTTTTTAAAAAAAAATTCAACGGAGATGTGAATTATGGAACAGCAAGGATTAGAGCTGTGAAAATACAGGCATAGCTACCTGGCTTGGTCTAAAAAGACCCAGGTTCCCTAACTATTCCAGAAGCTGGCGAGGTCTCCTTGCAGGACTTCGCATCACTGTGGTAGCCCTTACTCTATGCACATTAGTCGCCTTAATTATGGGTTTAATAATTTAACAGTTGGAGGACACTGTCGTGCTACCAGGGCCCAAACTTCCACCTGAGCTGAAACGGGTCTGCGCCCGCCCCTTCCTGCAGCCGTGTTCCAAGAGGCGACGTGTTGGCCAGCACAACGAGGCAATGCTCTCGGAACAACGCGCACGTCGCAGCGGCGGTTTCCAACTCCCTTTTGAGCGGTGTTTGTAAATCCGTCATTTTGTGGGCTCCTGGGCTCACCCTCGAGGAAACAAACCCGGCTCTGCTATTTTACAGCGCGAGGGGGAAGTTCCTGGCTGACCTCGCCACGTTAAAACACCCAGCCTGTCCATGAACCATGTGCTGCCACAGCACACGGAATTAAAACCTGATGCACTCGCGTTCGGGAGATACATAGATTAATGAATGGAAGCCTCCCCCCGGTTCCCCGTTTAACGTACGGACTTGAAATGAGAGCGAGCACACTCGCAGCCGCACAGAACTCGGGAGATCTAGTGGGGAAGTTGGATTTACGGTGCTGGCTGGAATGCTGAGGCTTTCGCAATCAGCCAACGCAAGGAAGTTCTGAGGTACGCCTGTTCTGAACAGTCGCCGAAACCGTTGCCCTATAGCTGTGTTCCAGGAGTGCGTGTTGAGGTAATTCCTCTCCAAGTTGGTCGTGGCAGAATTCGGTCGGTGAATGTGTCCCTCGGCTTAAACCGAGCATGACCTACGGTAAGGCCGGTTGGCCAAAAGGCTAGGCCCTTTAGAAAAAGACCAGACCTCATTTACGGTAGAGATGTGTATTTTTCTATTTCATATATAGATTATTTAAATATAGATTATCTTCAACTGGGCTTCACGGAAAAACCCCGAGCGTGCTGTATCTTGAATGTAAAACTGCAACCCTTTGCTGTCGTCTTGATGCTTTACAAATCAGACCTGTTTTGGTGAGAGGAGCTTCAGTGGAAAGAAGTGTGGGCTCTGTTTCCAAAAGA